GTCGACATTTTCATGTACCAGCAGCATTGATTTCACCATTGAATGTTTTGACCACAGTGAAGAACTACTCATTTTTTTAGACTAGAAAAGTATTTCAGACAGTGAAGGTTTATTATTAAAATAAATATAACTTCTTACCAAATCTAACATATAAGCCAACATAACTTCCTCATTGATTGACTTAACGTCATTTATTTGCTTCCATTGATTAAATAATTCCAATTCCTTCTTATATCGATCGATCGACTATGCCGGAATTAATTTTTCAGTGGCTTCGACCCATTTTATAATAATATTCTCTGGAATTTCGTCTTGTGACATTTTTATAAAAATATCAACATAAATGAAACAATTTATGATAGAAACCGTTGCTATCAAAATTATAATTCAATGGCTTGATAATTGTTTTTTTTAATTTTGAATAATCCATACCTAAATTAAAGAGCTTAAAAATCGACTGAGTATAAAATAAAATACATAACGACATACGTCCGGTAACTCTTTTCACAGTAATCGTCTCGAAATTTAGAACTCGGCTCCTTCGTCGCCTCGTTCTGAAACATCTCACTCGTACTGTAAAATGTGAGTTACGTTAATTACAATTAAGGAAGAGTCTTGTATTTTTTAAAAAACGTAGCAGTTTTTAAAATAAAAAAACCGAGCAGATTTTTAGCGAAAACTATAACTCGGTGTGCTTTTAAAAACTATCGAGGTGATAGAGAATTTTTTTCTACTTTAGGCGCCATTTTTAATTTTCTGTTAAAATTTTGCTTCTTTTAGTTATTGTAAAAAAAACTGCAAAGCCAGTTAGGCAACCCAAAATATTAGCTGACGCGGTAAGCTGTAATTTATAAAATATCATTTAACTGTCCTCTTTTATAACAAAAATAGCTTGCACATTGTTCGTGATTGCCAAATACCTATATGCTGGAAAAAAAAAGGAAGAAGCTCATTTTTGCTAAATTTGATAGCACTTATAACAGCTGTTCTAAATTTTAAAATACTATTTTTAAGAACATTTTTAATAGTGATATCTGCTTTCGTTGTTTTAACTATTTCTCTAATGTTGGAACATAATTACGAAGTATGTGATTTCTACATTCAATTTTTTCTATAAAATAATATGCACCATTTGGTTTTGAAGAAGCTCATTTTTGCTAAATTTGATAGCACTTATAACAGCTGTTCTAAATTTTAAAATACTATTTTTAAGAACATTTTTAATAGTGATATCTGCTTTCGTTGTTTTAACTATTTCTCTAATGTTGGAACATAATTACGAAGTATGTGATTTCTACATTCAATTTTTTCTATAAAATAATATGCACCATTTGGTTTTGCAGCCCGAACTTTTTTTAATACGCTACTATCCTCGTCGCCTATAATTCTCCTATAAAGTATCTAAAGTAAATCCCTCTAAGATAATTGAAGCTTCCATGAACATACATAGATGTTTGCTCCCAGTTTTTAAAAGAGTTATGTGTTGGAATTTCTTTTTTCTGTTTCATATAGATTTTACTAGAAACTACAAAGTTTGTTTTTGACTCCAACATAAAGTATTTTTTTAGTTCTGGAACCAATTATGCGTCCTACCCCAGACAGTGCATTGTAATGGTATTTGTAAGAGCGTTTGCTCCAAGTTCCATCGACAATAACGGTAATATATGGGACGCAATCATTATCTACATCCCTCGCTTTCACAGCTAATCGGTAGTCTTCTTTACCTGCGTTTTGGTTCGTTCTTCGAAAAGTGCTTCGATGCTCTTTAGAACTCTAGCCACGGCTTTACGATATGTCGCCTGGGGTATTTGAGGGATATCTATGGCTCAGTACAAAAATTACCGAATATTCCGTACATATTACATTTGCAGTAGAAAACACTTTTTAAACCATAACAATTTTCATGAGTTATTTCAATATTCTCTAAAGTGCAACCCAACATATTATGACTGCTTGATTTCAGTGTTGTTAATAAGTGGCCTATGTCAACAATTCTGCGTCCAATACTAATTTCTCGACGTGTCATGACCCCTAGAGTACGAAAAAAGTGGTCTCCCGTTTCCGTAGGTCCGTCCGTCTGTTTGTCTGTCTGTCTGTCTGTCTGTCTATCTGTCTGTCTGGTGTCTGTATCCATTTTTTATTAGACAAGTGTTCTCCGAAACTACTGGATCGATTATTGCCATATTTTATATATACATTAGAAATATCATGTAGATGGTTAAACGCTAACTAAAATTTGGCAAATCATCTCCACCACAATGGGATGACGTCATCTCCAAAGTTTTTTAAATTTTATAAAATAAGATACTCCTGCAATTGTGGTGTGTAAATCCGTGTAGAATTTTCACCCTAGACATCTAGAATTTTTGGAAAAAATTTTAACTTATCCGGGTTCTCATAAAAAAACAAAATTCGCATAATCAAATTTTATAATTCTTCGAAAAAGCTGGGTTTGTTTTATTGCATTTCAGAGGCGAGAGAAGTTCTGTCTAAATAACTTTCGACCAATTTGCTTCATTCAAAATACATTCCGAGAGGTAACTAGGTACCTACCTAAATTTCTAAGATTTTGGGTTGAAAAATTCCAAGATTACTAGGAAATACTCACAGTAACGTACATACCTTCGTACCTACAATAAAATATTCTTGGAAATTTAATTTTACTTTTTTACCTACTTACAGAATATGCCCAACACGTACGAATTTTTATGGAAACAGGAATTTAAAAATAAGAGTAAGAATTATGGTCGGAATTATATATATGAACAAGCATTTTTTTGTTATGTGTATTGCGAGTAAAGATCTCAACAGTCTCTGACAATGATTTTATTAATTTATTTTAAAACACACATTTGGCTCTGTTAGTTTCTTATGACAGTAAATTAGGTTAAACCACATATCAATTTTTTTATGCTAAAAAAAAAGTAGGAGGTGCTATTTAAAAAATTATCGATGACGTCATACACCTGTCAAATGTCGCTCAAAACTTTTGAAACTAATATTACAAAATGGCAATTTTTATATACCAATCGACGTGTTTTTGCATTTTTACTTCCCGAGCGTAAGCTGAGAAACAGTGTTTTCTTTCGTAGTAGATAAGCTGACAATACCAGTAATAAAACTATTGTAAACGAAGCGAACGATTTTAACCCTTAGAGATGAGTGGCAGCTGTCATTATGAGATAGCATGGGTTGTTTTACAAGTTGCATATCTTTTAAAATAGAAATTTTCTTGGTGTGTGGTGGAGCCTTAAAAATAATAATTCTCGACGTTCAAACCAATGACATTCCACGAAAATCAAATTTAAAATTTAAATCCCCAAACTTAGTTTTTATATTCTTCAGTTAATTTAATTTTAATTGCTCCGCAAACACAAAAAAACTGGTGCCCTTTATGAAAATATCGTCAACAGTATTCCAACGTTTTAGAAAAATTTGTAAATCGTAACACAAACATATTAGTCACCTTGTTTTTGAATGCGGATAAACAGCACACACAAACAAATATAGAAACTTAACTTTTCTTCAACATCCATATTCCTAGTGGAAGCAAATTTCTAACATTTTTTTTCCTACATTTTTGTAAAAAAAATAGGAGAAAATAAATTGCTTTCATGATTACGTATAGACTGACTATAATTTTAGTCAATTAACGCTAAAGCAACTGATATTATTATGTGTGTTAATTAATTTTAAATTATAGCTTGGATCAAAAATGGCACATATAGACCCGGTTTGTAGAAGTTTGATTAAATATTGGATTGCGATTAAATTTTTAATACGCGTAACCACGTGACGACTCTACGCCAATCAGACACCGCTAAACGCCTCGTTAAATGCGTAATTAAGTTAATCTCAGTTAAAATACTATATATACTGGTCCTTTAATGTTGTATTTATAAACAAAAGCCATAATTTCTTTTATAAATTAGAATCATTAGAATATTACGCATATTAACGCTATAGTAAGCTTTTGCGAGAATTGAATTGATACTTAAAAAAAAATAATTTTTTCCACGGGTCAGACTCTGGTCAATTAACACTCCGAAATATGGAAACATGAAATATACATTGTATTGGATTTGATATGAAAACAAGAAAAATGTTTTTTTATGTGTGGGAGGGGAAATGCCTTTGCCAGACCACCGTGTTGGTTATCGGCGTCGTGGTGGATTACAATAAATAAACCCCTCCACCTTCTGCTCATGCACCAGAACTTTGTTCTCTTCAACTGGACCCTCACTTCTGAGTGGTCGGTCAAACGTTGTTATCTTAACCAATAGAGTTGAAGCGACCGATTACTAATCTTTGGAAAGGGGTGGGAAAACGTATATAATCCCCGCAATTTGTAGAGAAGTTCAGTTAACATCAGAACCTTCGTGTAACGGCGGAGACTTCGCCAACAGTTCAGTTATTCCAAATTTCAACGCTTTGGGTGCTGGTACTCCTGGCGTCGTAAACTATAATTTTGACTCCCAACAAACCAATCAAATGGTAAATACTAAATAGATATTGATTTTTAAATTAACCATTGCTAAACCATTTTTTCCATATTTACGTGCTTGTTTCAAAAATTACAGGTACCCTCTCCTGCTTGGAATTATCCATCTCAATATTACAACCTGCCCATCTACCGACAACTGAGCAACAGTCAACCCAATACAAGTAAGTTTACAATTAAGATTTCCCTAGATTGTTAATTTTAACACAAACTTGCTCAGGTGCTGTCCAACAGGAAACCTAAGAAAACAACTTAACTCCGAAAAGGACTCGCACCTTATATACCACTCAGCAACTTTTTGAACTCGAACGAGAATTCAATAGAGATAAATATCTCACGAGGTCGCTGAGGATTCATCTAGCGGAGAGACTGAAATTGTCCGAACAACAAGTAAAAGTCTGCTTCCAAAAAAAGGGGTGGGAAAACCTATATAATTCCCACAATTTGTAGAGAAGCTCAGTTATCATCAGTACCTTCGTGTATGTTCTGCACCATGACCATGTCAAGAGACTTCACCAGCAGTTCACTTATTCCAAATTTCAACGCTTTGGGTGCTGGTACTCCTGGCGTCGTAAACTATAATTTTGACTTCCAACAAACCAATCAAATGGTAAATAATAAACAGATATTGATTTCTAAATTAACCATTGCTAAACCATTTTTTCCATATTTGCGTGCTTGTTTCAAAAATTACAGGTACCCGCTCCTGCTTGGAATTATCCATTTCAATATTACATCCTGCCCATCTACCGACCACTGAGCAGCAGTCAACCCACTACAAGTAAGTTTACAATTAAGATTTCCCTAGATTGTCAATTTTAACACAAACTTGCTCATGTGCTGTCTAATAGGAAACGCAACAAACCAACTTAACTCCGAAAAGGACTCGCACGGCATATACCGAGAATTCAATAGAGATAAATATCTCACGAGGTCGCTAAGGATTCATCTGGCGGAGAGACTGAAATTGTCCGAACAACAAGTAAAAGTCTGGTTCCAAAATAGACCCCCAGCAAACCAATCAAATGGTAAATACTAAATAGATATTGATTTTTAAATTAACCATTGCTAAACCATTCTTTCCCTATTTACGTGCTTCTTTTAAAAGTTACAGGTACGTGCTCCTGACTGGAATTATCCAGCTCCATATTACAACATGTCGATCTACCAACAGCTGGACAGCAGTCAACCCACCACAAGTAAGTTTACAATTAAGATTTCCCTAGATTGTTAATTTTAACACAAACTTGCTCAGGTGCTGTCCAAAGGAAACGCAACAACCCAATTTGACCCCGAAAAGGACTCGCACGGTATATACCTCTCAGCAACTTTCAGAACTCGAAGGAGAATTCAGTAGAGATAAATATCTCACGACGTCGCGGACTCATCTGGCGAAGAAACTAAAATTGTCCGAACAACAAATAAAAGTCTGGTTCAAAAATAGACGGATGAAATATAAAAAAGAATGTGGTCGAGCTGCGTCGCCTCAAATTGTGAACAATGATATGGCGGGAGAAACAACACAATCCGAGAACTTGAGGACCTTACCGGCACAGCTTAACCCCAAGGATATTTCACCAGCTACTAATACCGTACAAGTGCTTCAAGTTCCTCAACATTTGATTCAACCTTCAGTGCAGTACTCACTTCCCAGTGCAAATGATCAAAACCCAATCAAACGAGAAGATCAACAGTACCAGTTTCCGATCACTCCAGAGCCGTCCCCATAGCATATTTCGTTCAATAACTTTAATGGCACTGGAGACCAGATTCTACCGACCAATGAAGTGTACCCTTATGGTAACCTAATGAACACCCAGTTAAATGATTTTTCATCTTATCCTTACACGCAGTTGATTACGTCTACTGATGATAGTGTAAACGGTCAATTGTATGAACGGTATAACCAGGTTCCGCAGGTACTGGAACAACACCAGAATCCAGTGTGGCATGGTCAGCAGGATATGGCCAATGGATCAGCATCGTTCACTAGTTTATGATTTATAATGTTTTTATGTAACGATAGTGTATAGTACGGTATATAATGTGTAAATATTCAGCATGGACATGGTTCTTGAAATAAAATTGTAAATTATAAAATTTGAGCCTTCGAGTTTTATTTATTTTTCTTGTATCAACCCTTAAGCTAAAATAATATGCAGTTTGTTATTTATTAGCCACAGCAGTCATAAATATGCATAATAAATAATGACCATAATAGTTTAAGGCATTACCGCAGTAATGAAATGTACGCTTATGGTAATTGTATGAACTCTCAATTAAATGATTTTTCGTCTTACCGCACTGAAGACCAGATTCAATGAAATGGACCCTTATGGTAACGGTATGAACACGCAATTAGATGATTTTTCATCTTATTCGGACACAATTGATAATATGTACTGATGGTAGTGTAAACGTTGAAATAAATGAACAAATTAACCAAATTCTGCAGATACTGGAACAACAATAACGATAGTGCCCAGTACAGTGTAAAAGTGTAAATAATAAAATTGAACCCTTCGAATTTTATTTATTTTTTTTATACCAACCCTTAAGTTAAAATAATATGAGTTTGTTACTTATTAGCCATAGCAGTCATAAATATGCATAATAAGTAAATAGTCCAGTCAAAATAGGCATTTACCTTAGCCAAAATTCGTATAGAGCTGAAAATTGGTATAGACGTTAAATAAACCCTTACCAATCAAATGTCAAAAATCCCCTTGGACCCTACTTCTGCAAAAAATTTTATCCAAGGTCAAAAGTCAAAGATGCAGGTTTTTCCAATTTTTATTTGAAACCGTAAGTTTCATCGTAAAAATAGACCAGACAAAAGTTGGAGACCATACAATTCTCTACAAAATTTGTTCCAATACTTTTTTTCGTACGAATCATTGTTCGTGAGATATCGCGATTTTAAAAGTTGAAAATTTCATTTTCTACATGATATGCAGCCTGTATACGTCTCGCTTCATTTCAATGCTATGTCCTTATAATTGGTTTCAATGGTTGGAGATGTTCAGCTATTTTACTCAAATTTCCATTATCAGAAGATAGACTATCAGAAGATAAACTGTTCTTGATTTTTTTGGACTATTGAGCTGGCCTTGTGGGTTCTAAAAATTCTGGAGCAGTATTTAATTGGGAGGCATTGAGTCCTTGGAAAGGTGGACTAGACGTATATTCCACTGGCGACCAAGATAAAGAGTCAGCTGGGCGTTTGTTAGGAGGGTAAGGTACAGTGTTAACTACATCACTGGTGTCCTTAATTCTTTGGAAGACAGAAGTAGCAGGCACAAAGGTATTTAATGTTGGCAGGGAATCCTTTGCTAGACTAGGAGTGTTGAGCGGACTTTCGTTACTTGACATCTACCCTTTTTGCGAATTTTCTGGGACAACCAAGGCAGATGTTTCTTGGGGGATATTATTAGGACATGCGGTATCTATGTGCCCAGCAACTTTACAGGAGAAGTAAACCAGTTTGTCATACGTTGTGAATATTCGGTAAGTCGTTTCATCGAAGTTAATGAGTATGGATGATGGAAGCTCTACTGTATCGTTCGTACTGACATAAACAAGTCTTCTGAAGCTTAAAATGTGAACAAACTGATCGCCCGGGATGCCTGCCCTTAAGAAGGCCATACGAGACATTAATTTAAAGCCCAGCCGTTCCACAGAGTTTTCCAAAAGTTCATGGGGATGGAGGGGCAGACATTAAAGAGTATTATGCGGCGACTCGGAGTTATTAAGCGCCGAATATTTAAGGTTTGGTCGTTGATTTTAATATTTGAATAATTGGCGACAAGATCATCAATAATGTTTGTGTTCGAAAAGTAGATGCATATACGCTTGTTGGACATACGGGATGCAAAGAGAATACTTTTGGGATCAACGATGTTGGCCAGAGCAGTAACACAATCACCTAGTTTAGTTTCTTCTATAGCGTTAATAATTATGACCTGTTCTTTACTTGGGCAGGTGTTTTGAACAATAGGAGATGCCATATTAATAAAAATAAAGAGAAGTGTGTACTTTCCGGTGTAGTTAGTTCTGGGATATCTCATTATGATTGCGGACGGCCTGCTTGTGTGGCAAGCGCTAATTGATATCGCCAGTGCCGGAGATAAGTTTTTGCTGTATAGCAAAATCTTAATCTTGCGATAGAAGAACGAAATATTTGTTTGCAGTTATAGGTTATTATTACAGCAGGATTCAGGGATTCCTTACGGACAAATTGGGTGAGCACCCGCTTCTCCCGTTTGATGAGGTACAATTGCCTCGAACTCTTCTATGATTGAATCTGGTGTTGTGAATTGCCAGTTTAGGGAACACTGCGAACAATACAACCAGCCACTGTCACTCCACTTTTCAAACTCCTTTTGTACTTTAAAGTGAGTTTAGGACCCAAATTGCAGAAGCTGAATTAAATACTCATTTGATTGCGATTAAATTTTTAACATGGCATTAGAGTACTACGTGGTCGACTCTGCGCCAATCAGACGTAGTTAAATGGCTCACTAAATACATGATTAAGATAATATTGAATAAACTGGCCCTAAATATATAAGTTTATCACGATGCTTATAAATGTTTGTACGTCAAGTGGGTTACGCAAGAATTATCAAAAATATCGTTCTCAAAATTAGCACTTTAAAAAACAAGGAACCTTATTACTAAAAACTGAATCATTGGTTGTCTCTCTCCCATGTGTAGATATTTTCAAAATCAAATTGCATTTTCCAGTGCGGTCTTTTCAGCTGTGCATGAATTGATTGTTAATTATTACTTGACTACTGGTGTTTATTAAAGATGTTTGCATATTTAATATTTTTATAATCAATTTTATAATTTTTTTGGTATTCTTTGATAATTCAAATAATGAAAATCCGAACATTTTACGTAAATGAAGCTGATTGTATATGTCTGCTTTCACCAAAAACGTGTCCACTAAGCATTAATTTTCAGTTCTAGTGTTCTAAAATTTGTTTGGCGATCAGTCGATTTATAGAGAAACTTATTTGAAATATTATGTGTCCTTGGTACCCCCCGGACCTACAAGTGACAAATGCCAGACGGACAGGCGATGGGCTCACGCTGCTAGGAGACCAGGATCTCCTTATAGACTAAGCTGAGAAAGGTTAGAAAACAGATTTTCGACGAAATAATCTCTAGTACCATAATTTTTCTTAGTTTAAGCCTGGTAATTAAAGTGTCACTCCAACAAAATATGTAATATTTAACCCAGGAATGCAAAAATTCATTTAATAATTTTCCAATTATTGTTGGCCTCAAGGTGGTAAGATTGGGTGATGATTTTACCAATTTCGAGGAAAATTTGTTGGTACCAGTTGAAACAGTAATTGCTGATCACTTTATGTAACAGTAGTGCCAAGTGTAACATCCCAATTTTTTAAATCTAGTTCCTTTGTAATGTTCACACAACGTATTCCCTCTCCGTTAATGGAGAGAAGACGAAAGTAATCCTGTTCACTACGAAAAGGAAAATTGTCACACTACAGATGCCAAAAATATTTAACACAACGCTTCAACTTTCGGACGAAGTCAAATGCCTGGGAGTTGTATTGGACTGGCGACTGAATTGGAAGAAGCATGTAGATAATAAAGTGGAAAAACCACGCTCGGCTCTTTGGCAATGTCGTAGGGTGGTGGGAAGGTCGTGGGGTTTAAACCCCAAGATCGCCCTCTGGATCTACACGGCAATAGTCAAACCGATGCTGTGCTATGGACCTTTAGCATGGTGGCCCAGACCCAGACAAAAAACAACAGCCCTGCAACTTGAACACGTTTAGAGAATGGCGTGTCTCAGTGTTTATTACAGGAGCAATGAGAACCACTCCCACATCGGCTCTGGAGACACTTTTTTGTTTAGCACCTCTTAACCTTTACATAGAGGAAGCGACAATGAGGACGTCTCTAAGACTTCACTCTCTGGGAGTATGGAACAAGCAAGGCAGCATAACGAAGCACACTCGTATCTTGACGGAGGTGTTCAACAGAATACCCTTGTTAAGGATGGGTTGTGACCGAATGGGCACAAAAGTAATATATGAAAAGACATATAGAATATCAATGAATGATAATTCAGAAGGAAAAGCCGACATCGACATCACGATATTTATGTCGATGATGCCAACTGCCAAAACAGATAGTCGTTCAGGAGCCGGCATCTACTCCGAACAACTGAACGCACAAATCAGTGTACCTCTCGGCATCCACACGTCTGTCTTACAAACAGAATTGATGGGAATAATGCTGGGAGCTAGAATCCTTGCTAGAATCGGCAACAAATCAATACGCATACTTACTGACAGCAAGTCTGCACTACTAACCCTGGAGAGCTGCATGGTTTGATCTGGTCTGGAGTGCAGACAAACGCTAAGGTATGTAACCCAGAGGAATAGTGTAGAGCTTTGTTGGAGTAAGGGACACAGTGATAACGAAGGAAACGAAAGGGCAATCACGCCTTCGGTCGCCCTCTCGAACGAACTCGTAAAGCAATATACCCATAGACGCCATGAGCAAATGTGGACGACGTTGAGCAGCTGTCGGCAAAGTAGAGCTTGTATGGTGACACTAGACCGTAAGTTGACGAAATTTTGTCTCTCACTTTCAAGGGACAAATTGCGTAAACTGGTAGGAATCCTCACAGGAAATTACCACATCTACATACGATAGGAGTAGCAACAGACCCAATCTGTCGTGGACG